ATGACGTAGCTACCGTTAACTCATTCTTCAGATGATGAAGAAGGCTGTGAAGTTTTCACTGCCTCAAGGTCACACAATGATGAGGAAAGTCTGGATTAAAACACAGATCTATTTAACTCCAGAGTATGTGTTAACTGCAAAGCTATCCTGCTTGCCTTAAAGGATCTACAGTGGAGCATAGGATCAAGGAAGAATGGACCAGATGTGTGGATCTAAAATAAGCCTGTATTTACATAAAGTGATAGGGTTGAGATTTAGAGGTTGTTAATCTGAGGTCCATAGACCCCTGAGTGTCTAAAACTGGATTTTGGAGGGTTTGCAACCCCCTAAAACAGGAGTCAGCAAGTTTTTCCTAAAGGACCAGAGAGTAGCTCTTTTAGCCTTTGCAGGCCATAAGGTGTCTGTCGCAAACATTCATCCCTATTGTTGCAGTGCAAAAGTAGCCAGAAATAATACACAAACAAGTGGACAAGGCTGTGTTTCAATAAAACTTTATTTACCAAAACAGGTAGCTAGCCAGCAGGCTCTAAAATGGTATGCAAATTCTATATGCACGTGTGCATACTTAATTCTGTTGTTGTTGTTAGAAGATTCATAGCATTCCATAGCTTCTCAAATAGGTTGAAAATCTAAGATGGCTAAGAACTTGTCTAAATGGTCTCCAAATGCCTCTAAACGTAGACTTTCCAGGATTCTATGATTCTATATGCCTTTTAAATTAACACTCTCTTCGAGATTCTTTCTCCTTAGCAGGCTCACTTGATGGATTCTGCTGTGAACTCTTAAGTGGACTGTAATCACTGTCTGTTGGGAAGGAAACAGGACACATTACCTTTTCAACCTTCCCTGGCTTACCTTGCCAGATGATGCTGGCTGAAACATAAATACATAATACATTCCAGACTGGAATATAGCAGTTCAGTCCCGCACCAGCTAGTCTGACGTTTGCCGAAGCTTTTTCCTCTTTTCAGAGACCACTTGACTGTGTTCCATTGAGCCTTCACCACAGAAAGCACTCACTTGTCCTGACCATGCTGATACACAGTTTGGATTCCTGGAGTCAGCCAAGTCTGCCCAAGTATGGTGTGGAGGGAGGGACATGGCTGGCTGTGTTTGTCTGATGCATCTTTGCATCTGTTCAGGGACCATCTCCCAAAGAAACATGGTTCTTTCTCTTAGGATTCCGCAGCTTCATGAGTTAGAGCATCTTATTTACTGCCTGTGATTACACCAACATGTACCTTTACCCTGCCTCCCACTCCATGGGACTTGTCTTTCTCCAACTAGAATCTTTGGGTGGAGATTGCTGTTATATTCCTTTGTGTCTGCCACAGAGCTTGGTACCATGCTTAGCATATATTTTTTAGGTTATTTGTACTGAGACCCCTGAAAGCTATAGCCAGTTTTAAATTCTTGCATTGCTTTTGAAAATCAAAATAATGATTGTCCAATCAACTTGAATAAAAAGCAGGATGGACTATTTTAAATTTTAGAAAAAAGGAGATATATTAAAACAAGGAATTACAAATACTATGAATCACAATGTGATTGAATTTATATTCCAGGTTTCTGAGAATGGAGAATTGGGCATAAGCAAAGAAGCAGGAGAAAAAAACAGAAGAGGAGAAAGACATCATGGAGGAAAGGAAAATGAGACAAAGAGAATGAAAAGACAAAGAGGAAGACAGAAGGGAAGAATGGATCAGAGTGAGTCTGTAAGCTAACCAACTACTGCTGGTTTGAAATTCAGTGTCATTAGGATGCAGCTATTTCTCATAGTAAGTGCCCCCCAAAGAAGGAAATAAACCAGCAAATGAAAATAACGGGAATATAAATCATTTAGCCAGTACTTATGGAGACGTTATTCCATATTAGTCTCCTGTATATATTACATCAGGATTAGTGTTAGCTCTCCAAAATGAAACATCAATAAGAGGACCACATGGTGCTGACTGCACCTCCAACTAATATTTCAGTTCAGCTTTAATTATCACGTTCATCTGGCAGCAGCACGGTGCCACGTAAATAGAAATGGGTCATGGGAGGCCTGGGTTCTTGTCCTGGCATATCATTATCTGACCTTGGTTGGCCAATCTCTCTGCCTCAGTTTCCTTATTTTTGAAGTGTAAATAAGAATTCCCTGCTCTGCTTATTTCACAAGGGTGTTAAGAAGATGGAAGGTGGAGATATATATATACATACACACTTGGAAGAACGTAAAATACCAGATAAATGTAAAAGTGACCTTGTTTTTTTTACTTAACAAGGTAGTGGGTAGGCGGGGGGTGGGGACGATGGCATTTTGTGCAGAAGGCTTGGTGACTCAATGAAGTGTCTTTTTTTCTCTCAGTAATATCTGGTCTGGGATTATTACTGCTTTCTCAATGTTTTTAGACATACTTCTCCCCTTCAGAAATGCCAAAGGTGAAAAATACTATTCCACTGTTATAATTTGTCACCCTTGCTGCCTGAGCAAGACATGCATAGACAGTTCAGTAATTAAGCTTTTCAACACTGCATCATAAAGTTTTATCCTGGCAAAGGCTATATTTATCAGCTAACGAGTATTAAATCACCCCACTGCTCAAGCCGTTTCTCACTTGAATATGCTCCTTTCCAAACAGAGCAGCTTTCCTTGGCTGGTTTGATTAATAAAAGTTCTTGTTCGGAAATATTGTGCTGCTGTGTGGTCCTGCAGGGCTGACATACATACATGTTGGCAACTGTTCCAAAAGGTGCTGACCCCTATTTCTCAGGGGACTTGGATACTTTAGCCCTGAGTCTTTTAGGGCACCCTGGCCATCTGAGCTTCCTGGCCCTCGGGGATGGCTTCTGGCACAAGATATTCCCATATCCTTTTCAATTTCTAAACGAGAAGCGATAAATGAAAACACAGAACGCAAGCATTTGGTACAGTTTATTTCCTGATTTGAGCATCACGGAATTGGTCTGTTCCTATCAGAGATGGATCTAAATATAAAATGAGTTTTCAAAATGATTAAATTAGCAAAGTGACAATGATGTACATACTAAGCAGGACTGAGTCTTTTCTCATATTGCCATAGTCTTCTCAATGCAGAATTATTAGGGAAACACACTTAGAATGAATAGATACTAAAAGTCATGAGTAATGGCTTAGAAGAATATTTTCTCTAAGTAACCCATCCCACTTTCATAAATCATTTTCTTCTCTCTTTGGAGGATATACATTCATGAGACGAATATAACATTGTTCTTAAAGCTTCAGGCTACTTTCAGTCAAATGGCTCCAGAATTATATTACTTAAAAACAAACTAGTTAATATACTTGAATGTATTTTCTATCATATTTTAAGGGTAAAACTAAAATAAAGGCAAATCTTAATCAAATATGAGTCAAAATGATGAAAGAAATCTCAATAATTTTCATGTTATACCAGAGATCACATTAATTTCCCTTTTCCTTTCTCTGCTTTTAAAAATAAGCACCACACGTAGGCATTACCGTTTTTCATCATTTAATTCCTAAAAGGACACATATAATAACATTCCACAGGATCACAAAAACCCCTTTTAGATACATAAGCAAGTTCTGCCCATGCTCATGTATCTGTATATATGAGAGTGGGCATATAAGTGTGAAACTTTACATACTATCAAGATAAGAAGTCTTCTGTTGAACTTTTCTTAGTTTGAGAGGCTGCAACAATTTCTTTCCTTTCAAAATGGTAAAATAGAACTCACCATTTTGTTTTTCAAATTAGCAACAGGTAGCTTGTTTGGAAGGCTGGGGATCAATTTCTCTCCAGCCAGCAAGTCACAGGGTTGTCACTGAAGCATGTGGGTGGTACGCTGAATCACTAAGTTGGCAAATATTGAACTATTTTAAGTGCATCTATTTTCTGGTTCAGTAAATTTTTTTGTTGTATTAAATTCATTAAACTTGACACTGTCGAAATGCCACAGCACATACTGGAGCGCCCATAAAGGTAACAGCACCAGGAAAGGAGGTAGCAAAAGCTAAAGATCGATATATTTCCTCTCAGTTTCTATTTAATTTTTATCTTTCATATTAAGATTGGATTTTTTTTAAGGTTAAAAAGTATTGTGCAACTTGGAAAGTCAAGTTGAATCTGGCTATTTTCTGCAAATTTGAAGAGGATGTTCTTTGTCAGTCAAGTTGCCCTCCAAACTTCATTCTTAGAGATGATGGGATGTATGACCCACAATTCAGGACATTTAATAACTTGGAAGAGAAATAAGAAACAAAAATTACACTCTGTTATTCACAGTTTGGAGGAAACTTGTAGTTCACAATTTGCAAAAATATTGAATCAAGGACATACTTGAAGATTTATAATGAGGACTTGATCATGATTATTCTTTACTTGGGATTAAAATTTTCAAAAGGGTAATGAAGGTTTTGGAATGTGAACTGTTACTTTGATCTGACATAATTTTGGAGGAGGGTTATTTGTTATTCTCAAGCTCTCCTTTTCCTCCAATAAGGAGTAGTCATGGCAATTCCGAAAAGAGGCAAAAGGTGTAAGGTACAAGGAATTCTCATTCTAGCAGGGGTTGTACCTATTGAAATTATAAAATTGATTTTATACTCCATATGAAAAATGACAATAAATAGGGGCTGGCCCCGTGGCCGAGTGGTTAAGTTCGCGCGCTCCACTGCAGGCAGCCCAGTGTTTCGTTGGTTCGAATCCTGGGCGCGGACATGGCACTGCTCATCAGACCACGCTGAGGCAGCGTCCCACATGCCACAACTGGAAGAACCCACAACGAAGAATACACAACTATGTACCGGGGGGCTTTGGGGAGAAAAAGGAAAAAATAAAATCTTTAAAAAAAAAAAATGACAATAAATAAAGAACAATCTTCCAGTAATTTTCTCTCAATGAAATAGAAAACAAAACAATCAATAACAGAAAATTGTGAAAACAAAAATTCAAAGTAGAGAATAAGGAGAATGTAGAGAATAAGGATACAGGCACTAAATATGATTCTTTAAAGCTTCCAGAACACAGAGGGCAGAAGTGATGCAGCCATCAAAGTTGGACTGAGTAAATCCATCCCCTCCACACACGAGGAAAGGTTTGAGATGAAGAGTCATTTGGCCAGGATAGTCGGTAGCAGCATTTGTAACCTGAAAAAGTAAAAGAAAAAAAAAGGATTGCAATTGCCATTCTGTGCTCCAGTGCTGCTGCGTCAATGCCTACCTGAGGAGGGCTCCTCTACTTGGAAAAATCAAAATGTTTCACAATGAGCAACTGCAAACAAAACCAAGACCCCCTAACTCCTCCCCTTGCCCAAGTGTTTACATTGACATTCTTAAATGTTTACATTTTCAGTTATTTATTAAGATAATCAGAAGTGTGTTGAACTTCAAAATTAGTAGGCTATGATATACTAAATTAGTTAAAAGTACAGTGATTTTTTTTTGTAAGGGGAAAATGATATTCATGAAATCATTCACCAATTATTGAGTACCTGCTATATGCCAGACAAGGTGGATACAAAAGAGATTTAAGGGAGGTGTCCTTAAGGAGCTTCCAGTTCAGCATGACTGCTGGCACAGAACAGTGTCTAAAGGCTAACTAAGACAGAGTGAGGGAGAGGGTGCCACAGGGACACATGGGAGGGGGCCCAACCCAGCACACTCAGATAGAGAAGGCTTCAAAGACAAGGTGCCTGGTCATTTCACTTGAGTCCTGAAGGATACAGAAAAGTGTGCCAGTCAAGGAAACAGGCATAGGGTTTTCCAAAGAGAAGGAGCAGCATGTGTCAGTGCTCACAGCCTATGGGCACTAAGTCTAGGAGAACAAAGTCTGTTTAGGAAACTGCGCGCGCGTGTGTGTGTGTGTGCGCGTTGGGGGAGGGGTTGACTGGAGGAAGGGAAATGGTAGACAGGCAAGATAAGACAAATATAGTGCCTCAAATTTTAAAAATTTATAAATCAAAAATTCTATTAAAAATGCAGATTTTACTATCTGTAAGCCAAAAGTGGGGAGAATCAGCTGAAGTCTGGGACTTATTCTATTTTGTAGAATCAGGCTTATAATATGTGAAATGATGAAAAAGGTATAGAGGCTATTCCTGGAAAAAAATATTCTCAAAATTAGAATAGATGTTGATAATAAGCAACCACAGTCAGAAGAATGAGCAGGGGGTACATGTAGTTATCTAAGACACAGACGGTTTGGCTACCGAAACACCAAAAACTCCCTAAAAAGACAAATTACACAAATCTACTATAAAGGCAATTTCACTCAGGACTGCTTTCCTGCACAACTTCAGGGGGTGCCATTCACACAGATGACAACACAGCAGTTCTGGTCTCTCTCATACAGTGTTTGCATGGAGCATAAGAGTATGGCCCATGAGGATTTGCTTGTTTAAAAACAACACAAAAAAATCCAGAAATGTAATAAATGCTATTTGGATTATGAAGCTGAGATTTTGGTTCTAAATAGGCTGAGTTAGTACATGTTTTTACAGTTTTTCTAAAACCAGAAAAACTTGCATAGGTATTTTTTTAATGTATATGCCATATTTTACTTTAAAAAAAGATGTAGTATAATTATGTCCTTGTTGAAGCTGTAGAGATATAGACCTTTAAAGACCTGTGTCACCCAGATGCAAATGTAAAATGTTAAGAGTATCCTCTCACTTTTCTGGAGGTCACTTGATAGCAATATCATCTATCAGACATAGCAGATAATCTTTTTTTTAAATTAAGCCATAGTTTTATTATGTTGAATTGTAATTTCTCTTTTTCCTAGCTTTATTGAGGTGTAATTGACAAATAAAAATTGTATTTATTTAAGATGTACCACTTGATGTTCAGATATACATATACATTGTGAAATAATCACCATAATCAAGGTAATTAGCAAGATCTACTCTCTTAGCAAATTTCAAGTATACCATACAGTATTATTAGCTATAGTCACGTTACTGTGCATCTTGCATAACTGAAACTTTGTATCCTTTGGTCAACATCTCCCTATTCCCCCCTCCCACTAGCCCCTGGCAATCACCATTCTACTCTCTGCTTCTATGAGTTTGACTATTTTAGATTCCACATATGAGTGAGATCATGCAGTCTTGGTCTTTCTATGGCCGATAATCTTGAAATCAGCAGAAAAGATCTTTGAGTGGCTAAAAGAGATAGCACATAGTGCAGACACTGAAGCACAGGCTTGGATGTTCAATCAGAGCTTTTAATCTCCTGCTTTAGATGAAATTTAAACAAGTTGGATGATTTGATTTGTCAGTGAAACACTAAGGGAGGAAGAAAACTGCTAGGTTCCTATATAATAGAGATTTCAGAATGCGACAACTGATAGTCTGAAGGCAAGCGATGCTATATAAACACTCAAAGGCCAGACAGCTCTGGAAAGAAGCCTGGCAGTTAGGGGCCATTTAATGGAGGGGCAAATAACATTCTGGCTCTTGACAGGCCCTGAGGGTGCCTGCTATTAGTTTTCCTGCAATCATTAACACTCATGATGATGGCCCCGATATTCAAGAACCAATTCTAATATGCATAAAGCATTAACTGTCAGAATTTCTTGAATGTTCACTGCATACAAAATGCTTTACATGCACACCCCATCTAATTCACACAGCAACCCTATGAGGTGGTTACCATTATTCTCATCTTATAGATAAGCAAGCTGAGACTCAGAAAGATTGTTACTTGCCCAAGGACAGAAAGTTAGAAGGTGAAGAAACAAGGATTGGAACAGAGCAAGCTGACACCCTTCCAACACTTTCAGAAATATTTCCATAAAGACTTGATTTAAGCAAAACAAAACAAAAATGTTTGATGGTCACTTAGTTTTATGCATTTGGAAAATTCACATAAATTGAATAACTTATTTATCTGTATTCATATATTTACAGATGTGTGTCTATCTATGTATAATTTATACACACACATATATAAATCTCCATTTGTTGTAAAGTTCTGATGATACATTTCAGTTGATATCCCTGTATAGATAAACCTTGGCACTATTAAACATTACACAAGTATTAGGCAGGAGGGAGCTTAAGGGAAAAAGTTCTGCCTAGGGGTGAGCTGGTAATTTATCGGTGCTGTGTAATTTCATTTGATGACTGGTAAATGCCAGATGCCAGATCACATGGCTGAAAAACTGGGCCACTGATTAGCCAGTCTGAAGTTTGGATGAAATCAATCTCACTGCATTTAGGTGGAATCACCCATTTTGCAATTACCCAATGAGGAAAATATGAAAACATGAGTGTGTGTTGGCAAGCTTCTTCATCCATGTGAAGCAGAGAGCCCTGCAGTGGAGGAGCACGTAATTGTCAAAGCCACAGTCTCTCACAATAACGCAGCCTTTGGCTATGCTTCCAGCCACAGTGAGGAACCACAGCTCTATGACTGTGTTTAAGAGAGATGGCGGGGCTGAAGCAACCCCTTGGAAATCCAGGTTGCTTCGGCTCACATGTGTGCCAGGGAACTCTCGCTGCAGATGCTGATGCTCCAAGGTTGCTAATGTAATGTTTCTAATAAACTTAGATGATGACTGGACTGGGCATATAAATTTAAAGCAGAAAATTTAGTTTTATTCCTAAGCTATTTAAACCCATGTGAGTGTGTTTTATGACCTCTCTCCACCTGCAGAATAAAATGCAAACTCCTTAGCCCCACATGGAAGGCCTTTCATAACCAGATTGTATCTCTATTCAAGCCTCACCTCTTCCACTTCTCTCATCTTTGCCACACGTCCTGTCTACACTCAAACTAAGGTTCTTTAAACGCACCCTTCTTTGTTGTGCTTCTGTGACTTTGAATAAGCATTCTGCTTGGTGATGTTGTATTGTTTCCTCTCTTTTCTGCCAAGTAAATTGCTCATCCTTCAAAAATCAGCACAAATGTCACCTGCTCTAAGGCCCTTCTCACTCTGCCAGGCAGGGTAAGTGCCTTTTCAGCACGTTATTTGTAACTATTATGATACGTGCTATTTGGCACTGTAATTATGTCCATGTCTGTCTCCCCGCCTAGACTGTGTGCTCCTGAGTATGGACTGTGATGCACTAATCTTTGTATTCAAGGCTGAGAATGGTGCCTAGCCCATATTAAGTGTGCAATAAACGTTTACTGAGTTAATAAAAAAGACAGAATATTGTACACACAGTTGATCAAATGCAGGTCTTCACAGGGAACCAGCTACACAAACAGTGTTATTCAGAGGTGTCCGTAGAGACGGCAGAAGCTCAAATGGAGGAGCTGTTGTATTTAGAAGGCTCTTGATAATGAGGAATGGATGGCTGTCCTCTCATCTCTGATAGTGAAGTGCATTCTGTGAATTTCTCATATGTCATGTAATAAGTTGAACCACACAAACTTACTGCTTCTGTAGGTCAAAAATGGTAAAAAAATTGTCAATTTTTATATGGTTTAACCTAATAGTCTCTTTGTATCATGATTATTAATTGTAAGAATTCACACAAAAAAGTCCCTTTGGTGTTAGCATGAAATTAGAGATGAAAAGAAAGAGGGAGGCAGACACGTAGGCTAATGGGTATTTCCGCAAAATGATAGATGATAATTAGCAAAAAAATTCAGTGACACACATGACAATGTGCACTCTTCCTTCCATATGTAAGCTGACACTTAAAGCTTGTCGACTGTCAGACATCTACTCATATGGAACAATCTTGTTGGTTTGGCCTACAGAGCAGCTGTATTTTGGGGTGATCAGTTCTAGCTGACTATCCAGTCCATGATTTGGTTACTTAAAAACAACCTTTCTGAAATATGGCAGTAGTTCAAGTGGGCCAGGTAAGAATTAAAGTCTCATAAGTTCTAATCCTAAATGTACAACTAACTTGATGAGAGAACTTGGACAACCTAAGAACAATCAGGTTCTTGCTGCTGCATTTCCTCATTGGTTATGGATGTAAATTGTACCTCTTTTCATTGAACCTAAGGCATCATCAATTGGAAGAGGCACCGATATTTTATGTACCAAGGAGAAAGAAAAAACAGTGTCAACATGACACAAAATTTTATTTTATATTTACTAGAAAAGTTCTTTTAGACTTATCTACACGTATATCTTTTGCAAACATAAAAAGGAAATAAAAGAGGAATAGGTTGGCTAACCCTTTCCAAAAACTTCTTCACATTCAGAGTTTGACTTCTCTGAAGCATCCTTTAACTCAGAGTTGTCAGTGTCCGTGCTCTTCCCCACACAGTCTGTCCTCTGAGCTGCCTTGAGCACTGGCGATGCAGCATTTGTTATAAGAGTGCTCCACTGAACTGTCCTTCTGGGGTTTTCTTCCAAGCTGCTTACACTTGTTCTGCAAGTTCTGATCGTGCACTTTCTCTTCGGTGGGAAAGAAAGGTTTTCAGACAGCAACCAGGACTCATAGTCTTTTCTCAAATGGTCCTTAAATAATTTGTTAACTTAAATATCAAGGGGTTGCAGTGGTGGTCCCACTGTCAGACCACTGGAAATAACCAAGTTCACATGTGTGACAACTAGATCCTGACTGTCTCCTGGTGTATACTGACTTGATGGCACCTTAAAATCGATGAAATATGGCAAATATTAAATAGGGTAAGGGGAGAAGTGTGTTGAATACCTAATAGTTAGTAAATGCATAGCAAATCAAAAGATAATGAGTGGCAGGAGCCTTTAAGCAGGGCCTTTTCAGGTAAGCAGCATCTCCGTGTCAGGACTTCTAACGTCTTCAGCATTGCCGGTTTGAATCCTCCATTTTCTCAGTTCATCCAAATGAGCAGCCTCAGGAGAAACTGACAGAGATAGACTAGTTATCAGAGAATCGATTTGTTCATTTACAAAGGTAAATGTACCGATTCCAGAAGCAAGTCTGGTTGTCTTCCCAGACCATTTATCTTAGTAGGCAAATTTCCTCAACTGTATCATGGATTATAGGGTGACACATGTGTGGCAAATCCTGACAGACATCACTAATCAATTGTGGCATTCTTTTCCACTGAGCCCAGAAGTGGCCTCAGCATCCTTCTCACTTCATTGTTTCAGGCAGCCACTACCAGTCAATTGGAGTTGACACTCGAGAGGAATCCTATATACCAAACCTGGATTAGAGGACTGCAGAGCAAACACATAATTAGAAATAGGGGAATTAAACACTCCTTGCTGTTTTTTTTTCTCTTTTCCCAGTAAGCCAGGATAGTCTGATGCATTGCCTTTGTCCAAACTAGAGATATTTCAATGCCAAGAATTAGGATCACATCAGGAGCCATTTCCTCTAGATGCTGCTGGAGGCTCAATTCCAATTCCTTCTAATAACCTTCTAATAATCTCCCTCCAGATCACTGCCCTTTCATGGGTCACACAGGAGCTTTGATTGCCAAGTGAAAATAAAATACAGGTATTTTGGCTACAATTGAAATTCCACAAAACTGCACATTAAAAATATCAAGGCTTGTGGGAAAAACAGAGTTGGGGCAGATAACTCAAAACCTATAGAACTCTGAATTAAACACTAACAAAAACAAGAAACATCATAGGAAAGGGATAGCACAGCTAACATTCTCCTGCCTCTGCATCTAGAGACATCTTTGCAGCCTAAACTCTGGGGCTTATGCTTCTCCCTTTGAGATATGAGCCCTGGCTGGTAGTTGCTTCTAAAAGAGACCATTTTGATCTAAATTGGATGTGGCCTTCTTCACCAGTCTGTCATTTTACTAAAGGGGAAATATCTTTGTGGTTTCTTCATCGCAATCTCACCTTTGCCACAAAGCTTAACATGGTGGAAAACCCAGCAGTTCTTGAGGCCTCTGCAATAGCCACTCTTTGCACTAAAGAAAGGCACCTCTGGAGATTTTCAGTTTTTTCCTTAAGATCTTCACATTTGCTAAAGTCTTTCTCTTGGCTTGCGAGAAAGTTACCCTGATCACTTGAAACCATAAATATGTACAAAACCAATACGACTCCCCCGCGATACTGATCTCCTATTTCTCAGTTACATTTGAAATAATTCACATTAAAAAAGAACCCAGGTGCTGTAAAAGACTGAGTACTTTTACTGCTTTCTTATGTTACCTACATTCCTGAGGGTCACTTGAGTTAGACTTGGGTTTGCCTGAGTCTTGACAGCAGACCAAGATGTCTAATCCATCACTTCTGCTTTTGATACTCACACTGCATCTTTTTAATTGATTTGTATCGATTCCAATGTCTGAGGGTGACTCCTTTCATAAATTGTCCTGGGATTCCAGGGAAATCTTATTGTCTCCTGGTTGCACACTGACTTGATTGGGGCAAACTCTGAGCAACAATGTCCTTGCATTGGCATTTCCTCTGGCCATTGTATGTGTGAAGTACTGAGCACACTGGCAATATGAATAGCTAGGAAGGCTGAGATGGTATGGAGCTGATTCATACATTTCCTCACTTCCCCTACTCTGCTGCCAGTGTAAACCTGAACCCATGCCATGGTACATAAACAGCAGAAATTGAATATTTGGTTAACTTATTCTTTTATAGCCCCTATGCAAAGCTCAAAGGCAGTGGTTCCCAAAAGTCAATCTATGGCAAGAAGAAAAAAATAAGGAGAATTATGAGCTTTCTCATAGAGCTAAATGAATTCTGTTTATAAATTTGTCATGAGGTTGTATCTTTACTATTTTTTTGGTTATACTTTTCATTAAATTCTTATAGCTGTGTTTCTGCTTTTTAAATTCTTAATTGTAGAATAAAAAGATAGTAATATTATACTGGAAGTGTTTAGAGGGATTTTACTGGACCATGAAATAAAAACGCTTGGAACCACTGTGCTTGATGTGGCTCAGAGCATAGTCTGTCAGCATGAGGAAGGTTTTCCATTAATAAGGGGTGGGGGCTGGCGGCAAAGGTCAGCTTTGAAAAACCATCAATAATCTCAGATAACAGAAGACATGGTGAGTAAACGAGTAATTTTTAAAAATGGAATAAAATCTGGTGTAAAACTTATTTCCCAGAAACTTGCACAATCTCTCTTCTATACAAATATTAATCTAGATAGAGTTAGAATCGGAGGTAACATATTCTTCATTTGTTCACCTGTGTCTAAATATTCAGGTAGTGACCATAAAAGTGTGGAGAAAAATAGGGATTGGGGAAAAAGACTTCATCAAATGTGGAAAAAATACCTACCTTCAAATTGTATGTACTTAGAGAGTAAATGTGGCTTGTATTGATTCTTTGTATATATCTCTCATTCTTAACATATTCCCAAGTCATGATTATAAGCATCTGTTATACGCCTGTTTACAAAGACAGAGAGAAATGTAAATAAATAAAGGAGAGACCAGAGCTAATGTTGATCTCAATGGAAATGTCTGTTTACAGATTTATAGATAGGGAACTAATCCAGGCACTCCTAAAAAGATGAGACTTCACTATTGTGTCAATAATGAAAAATACTGTCAACCTCAAAGCAAATTTCCATGATACAGGAAAGGAAGAGCTGAGAAATGAAAGTTGAATACAGATTTTTGTTCAACAAAAACAAATGTTTTCTATTGGTCAAATTAAAAATGTAATGTTTCTATCCCTTTCTCTTATTTTTTAAGAGTCCCTCTGGGATTTGATGAAAATACAATAAAATGTTGCTGATTCCTCTACACTTGACTCACCAAATTGCAATTTGGTAAGAGATATTTGATATTTAAAATCTTTTTGTGTGTGTGTGTATGTGCTGAGGAAGATTAGACCAGAGCTAACATTTTTTGCCAATATTCCTCTGCTTGCTTGAGGAAGATTAGCCCTGAGCTAACATCTGTGCCAATCTTCCTCTACTTTATACGTGGGTCTCCACCATGCTGTGGCAGATCCTACCCCACCAACCTGGGCCACTGAAGTGGAGCATGTGGAACTTAATCACTATGCCACAGGCTAGCCCCCTAAAAGCCTTTCAAGTCCTCAGAAATAGCAAGCTACGGGGGCTGTGTCTCATTCATTTTTGGATTCCCAGCATATATTACTGCATTGTACATGGCTGGTATTGAATCAATGTTTGCTCAAATGATGTATGTACACAGGCCAACAAAAAACTAATTCAAACTTTTGAAACTTTTAAACTCTCAGGGTTCAAATGGTCTTCAAATGTGGTAGAAAAATATTTCTTCTCTATGAAAATAATTTTCTTTGGCTTCTCAGTTTCTAAATGTTCCTTTTTCTTTCTGAATTACCATGTTGCTAACCTCCTTCTATTTCATCACACTCAGCCCCTCACCATTCTGAGTTCTTGAGCAGTTGCTGTCTTCAAGAGACCGCTCTTCTAGTGCCCATAATCCTTGCTCTGACATTTACATCCTGACCCCTCGAAAGCTGAATGCCCTGCCTCTAGTTCGCCTTTTGTAGACTCCAGGCAAAGGCACCAGTGCAGCAGGAATCTTTGAATCCGTCTGAATTTCAAATAGGAAGTGAAGATGGTTTCTTAGCCAGATAATTCATCCTCCTCTTATAAAAATGCCATGGTGAAGAATACCTTGAAAAGTTGCGTAAAATATAACTAGACAAGTGTGTATGTGTAAATGTACATGTGGGGGTATTTTGGGTTATACAGATATTTGCCTTTATTTCAAAATATGGAGACCACAGTGACATAGTCCATGCTATTTCCATAGTGTAGGGCTAAGCCGCAGTGAACCTGCACAGACACAAAGTCTAAATAAAACTTTAAATAGCATTTTTCCTGGGAGATGGTAAATACATTCTTGAAAGCTATAGGTGTCAGAAGGAAAAGAAACCAATTTATCTGGGTGACCTAGCCAATTTACGTCTATATTTAAAAAAATTCTTTCTTAGAATAGTCAACTTTCTATGTTCAGATTTTTCATGGCACAGCCAGAAATCATACACATATGTGATATATTTGTTACATTATTTTAAAAAAGTGATGATAAGAATTATCTCTTAATCATACCTTGCATGTTATTGAAGATAAGTGATACTCAGAACTGGGATAATAATGATAAATTGAGGGTGCTGATTATACCATTTAATCTACTTTTAGGTATATTTCCTTAAAAAATATCACATCTCTTTTGGTCACTGATGATCTGAGGCTCTCAGTCCTGTATTATCTTATGTTACAGTACTTAATATTCATAAAGAGCTTTGTCAACACATGGATGCTTTCCTGCAGAGATGCACATTTTTAATTGGTTCTTATGTATTATGTTCATCACCCCGTCTTGCCTCTGTTCTACTCGTCTCCCCAGTGCTCTATTATATTTAATGGTGATTTCATAAACCTGTTTCTTTGTTGTGCTTTAGGGAAAGGTTTACTTGTATTGTGGGCTCCTGGCTACAGAGCTCTATATCTGGTACTACAGAGACTTGCTGTAAAATTACTATTGGTTCGAATACCCTAGGTGTGAAGAAAGTGATGTGGTTTGGTCAGTTCTCAGTGGAGCTTTTCACTTTATTGGTAGTTGTCTATTCTATTTTAATAAACCATTGGGTAGATGCAGGCAGAATGTGCCACAAATCAATTATATGATCCATGTAGCAGCTTTAGTGGCCTCGAACTGCGAAGGACATATTTTGCTGAAATTGTATATTCAATTGCCGAAGTCTACATTGAATCCATTTAGATCTATTCTATCTTTTAAAGTCCTGAAAACACTGGAGCAGTCTATTTTGATGAGGACTTGTTCAGAACAATCACACAATAAAGAATGAGATACTGTTTTCTCTGGTACTGTTGCAGTAATAACGGACAAAACAAGAGTCGTACTACCTAGCTTCCCTTTTGGAGTTTTTAATTTAATAGAAAATTGTTCTGCCTTCAGCAAGTTTTAGTATGTTCATTCATTAACTCTTCAAATATTTGTCGTGTTTTTAAGAGTTGCCAAGCACTGTGTGAAGTGTGAGAGTATAGAAGCCAGTTCCTAGCCATAAAGTGATTTAAGAGACTGAAATCCTTTTGTTTTTATCTAAATATAAATGTTGCACCACAGTCTTTCAAAGGATCAAATTACTTGGGATCCCAGGATGCGGAGGGCCAAAAATGCTTTTGATTGTGAGTCCGGAGATAAACCTAAAATCATCTTTCCTACTCAACTGAGCCTAATCACTGCTTTCCTCCCAAGTAAGTTTGTAGCTGCTTAATTTCCCACTAATTCAATCCTTCTTCATCCCTTCTCCCATCTCCTTTCCCTTCTTCTTGACAGCCCAGAAGCATAGCTATTATTTCTTTCTGGTTTTCATTCATGGTGAATGAACCCAATGGCTTTTTGTTTGGGCTGTGCAATTATGGCAAAAAGGTTGCAGCTATTTTGATCTTCAGGTCTAGAAACACCCTTCTTTCTACTTCTAATACTGTGAAAATAAAAGGGTCAATTCTTGTGCTCCTCAGAGACACAATAACGGAGGATGAAAAACAGGTGGTTTTAAAAGTCAGCTTAATTGAGGTATAACTTAAGTACAGTAAAATTCACCCCTTTTTATGTGTATAAATTTTGAGAATATACACAGCTGTAGTAATTACTGCTTTAAACAATTCATTTGTGCTCCTTTGCAGTTAATCCCCTTCTCCCAGTCACTGACCTGGCAACCACTTATCAGTTTTCTGTCCCTATAGTTTTGTCTATTCCAGAAAGCCATATAAACAGAATAATATAATATGTAGCCTTTGAGTTTGGCTTCTTTCAGTTAGATAATTCTTCTGAGATTCACTCATGCTATTGCAAATATTAGTAGTGCATTCCATTTATAACTGAGTAGTTTTTCATTTACGGATGCACAACAGTTTGTCCATTTACCAAGTGATGAATATTTGGGTTATTTCCAGTTTTTGGCAATTATTAATAAAGCTGCTATGAATATTCGCAAATAGGTTTTTATGTGGATGTATGTCTTTATTTCTCTTTGGTAAATCCCTAAGAATGGGGTTGCTGGGTCATACGGTAAGTGTATACTTAACTTTGTAAGAAACTGTGAAACTGTTTTCCAAAGGGGCTGTGCCATTTTGTATTCCTACAGTGATATGTGAGAATTTCAGTTGCTTCATATCCTCACCAGCATTTCGTATCTTCAGAGTTTTTGATTTGAGCCATTCTAGTAGGTATGTCATGGTATCTCACAGTTTTAATTTGTAATTCTCTAATGACCAATGATGTTCAGCATTTTTTTTTATGTGCTTACTTGCAATCCACATCTCTTTTTTTGTGTGTGTGGTAAAATACACATAACATACAATTTACCATTAGTAATAGCCACTGGCAAATACTTATTTGCTTTCTGTCTCTATGGATTTACCTATTCTGGTTATTTCACATAAATGGAATCATTCAAGATGTGGCCTTTGTGTCTGGCTTCTTTCACTTAGCATAATGTTTTCAAGGTTCATCCATGTTGTAGCATATATCAGTACTTCATTGCTTTTTTTTGTCCTTCAAATGTTTAATATGTACACTTTAATATAATTTCCACTGGATCTTATTATTAGAAATATGTTAAACACATATTTACCACATAACGACTGATTTCCTTATTAAGGTACAATTCATTGCTTTTTATGGCTGAATGATATTCCATCCTATGTGTATAGAACATTTTGTTTATCCATTCAACAGCTGATGGACATTTGGGTTGTTTTCACCTTTGGCTGTTGTGAATAGTGCTGCTACAAACATTTGTATACACAGTTTTGTTTGAATGCATGTTTTCTTTTCGGTATATACCTAGAACTGGAGTTGCTTGGTTAGATTGTAATTCTATGTTTAACTAGTTGAGGAATCACCAAGCTTTTTCACAGTGTCTGACTAGTTTTTATTCCCATCGGCAAAGGTATGTACATTCCAATTTCTCTACATCCTCACCAGCACTTATTACGTTTCTTTTTATTAAATATTCTCTCCAGCCTAGTAGGTATCTCACTGTGGTTTTAATTTGCATTTCCCTCATGACTAATAATGTTGGGCATCTTTTCATGTACTTACTGGCCATTTGTACCCTTCTTTGGAGAACTGTCTGTTCATTTGCCCATTTTCAAATTAGACTGTTTGGTTTCTTGCTGTTGAGTTATAAGAGTTCTTTGTACATTCTGGATAGTAGACCATTATCAGATAAGTGATTCACAAATATATCCTCCCATTCTATGGTCTTTTCACTTTCTTGATAATCTTTTGATGCACAAAAGTTTTGAATTTTGATGAAGTTCAAAGTATCTAGTTTTTCTCTTGTTGCTTACGCTTTTGGTGTTATAGCTAAGAAACCATTGCCAAATACGAGGTCATGAAAATTTACCCCTATG